CGGAGGAAGAAGAAGGGAGGGGGAGGGGGCGCTGGGGTTCGGGTGCGGAGGAAGGGAAGAAGAAGGGAGGGGTCCTGCTCATTTGAATTTTTTTGTGCGTACGTATATTTTTCTGTGCGTTTTTAAGAACCAACAGAATAATTTGTATTTTTCTGTGAGTGCTGATTTTTTTCGTGTGTGTATTGTCACGCACAGAAAAATCATATAATTTTTCTGTGGGTTTTCTTATTTTTCTGTTGGGATATTTTGAAACCGACAGAAAAATCGTAATTTTTCTATGCGTACCGAAAAAAATACATAGAAAAATTAAACACCCACAGAACAATTCGAGTTTCCAGTACTGTGCTCCACACTTATCTCTATCTCACTGCTAACCAGGGCCCACACATCAAGGGCATAATGAAAAAAAACATGGGGCATCTTTCTCCCGACCTGACGAGCTCGCCCGCATGATTGCCAGGGCTCGTGGCCACGACCAAGCATTGCCATTGGCAGGTGTGCTATTAGCTAAAAGGCGAACACGGCCTGACCAAAAAGCAAGCCCAGTGGGTGGTTGTGGTGACCATGGGTTGCTAGTGAGGGGAGCCAAAGGGGGGGGGGTGGCACACAGACGGGCGGTGGCAACGCGTCACCGGCGAGGGGCGGCGCGGCTACCGATGAGGGGTGGCGTTGGTCCCTTGTTTATCTTTTCCACTAAAGCTCATCGGTGCTGACCATGGCCTGCACACATCTGGCGGTGTGCAGATTTCCTGCTTCTTAGAGATGCTGACTTTAAAAGGATTAGGAGGTCTCGTGCCTACGCTCAAGTTTGGTTCGGAGATGGAATCTACGCTGCACTACGCCAACTCTGATGATGCCCGTGAAGGAGGAGCCTTCACTCGATAGTCTTCCGCTAGATTAACTCTGTAATAGGTGTGTTCCCCAGTGATGTAATATCTTGTATTCTAGTAATCTTACGATGTATGACTGTGACATCGACTGAAATATGATAATATGATGGAATCAGTTCTTGGTTTTATCATATTAAAATTCATTCTGTGGATTTTCCCTTCAAGGAAAATTGAGGATGTTTCAATCGCTGCTGCTCGTGTTACTAGCACTAAAAGTTTGTAGTAGGGGTTACAAACGGGCGAGAGAGGGAAATGATCCCAAGTCTCCGATGGAAGGAGTGAATGGGTGCTGAGAGCTCGATTGCTGCTCAGCCTTGTGTTCGTGTCGTGCTCTTGTGTTTTCTATCTTCACGTGGATCTGGATCCCTTGGGTCTCGATGGGTCGATTGATCGATCCCCTTTATGGGGCGCCCTGTTTTTGCTTTTATAGGCCAAGGAAAAATGAGGGTTACAGCGGATGAAAAGAGAAGAACCAGCGAGAGAAGAAGGCCTTCAAGATCGCCGGGTCCTTCTTCTTCTTCATGCGGGTCCCGCTGACCCTATAGATGTCAACCGGGATGGCTCCACGTCACGGCCATGTTCATTACTGGCGCCATGCGGAGGCGTCGTCTGCCGGTCATGGCTCTCCACTCTAATGGGGGTCTGTCGTTCTGCGACCGCGCGTTTGGTCTCCTTGCGAGACCAACCTTCCTCGAGGCACCGCCCATAGCAGGGGTCCGATCGAGGGTCGGCTCGTCTTCATGATCATCTTCCCTCAAGCGTTTTTTCCGATAAAAATAGAGGGGCTGAGCCGTGCCATGATTTTCCTCTATGGATGAGCCATGGTGCTCGGTGAGTTGTTAGCAGGCTAGTCCGAGTGGGGCCCTGGCACCCCATTCGCGGGGATCCGGCTTGGGTCAGCTGGTGACCGACTCTAGATTCTCAGCGGTCAATCCATATAGTTCCCGGATCCGTTCGAACGGTCCTGAGGGCACTCTGCCTTTCTTGGAGAAAAAAACATGGATCGTATCCGGCCGAGCTCGAATGTGGGCTGGGATGCCCGCGGCGCTCGTGCGCCCGGGTACTAGACGCTAGCGGGCCCATCCCTTTCCACCCCTCACCCTAAAGGTGTCCGGAGCGTTTGTCGAACCCGTCGGTGGGCCAACCTTCGAACTCCTAGGCCTAGACCGGCCGTAGGAGCGTTTTCAGCTCCGTATCCCTCTTACCTGTGATGTGTCATGGCCCGTTCGGGGAGGCGAAACGTCCAGCGCTTTTTCCAAGGAGATGGCCATAGGTTACGTGCGCATGCCCCACGATGAGACATGGTGACAGGTCTGTGGCAGGTGCGGAGATCTAGGTGGAAGGTTCGTTTCCTCGCACCCATCCCCCTTATAAAATCAAAGGGTTAGCCCTCCGTGTTTCATACGCATGCCTGCATCCTTGCCTCCGCAGCCACGCTATCGCCGTCAACGCTTAGGTTTCCTGCCTCCACATCTTCGCTGCCGTCCAACTATCCAAGAGTGATGGGTATCCAGAAGACCAGAACAAAATATCAAAACAACCAGTAGCAGGATTCCCTCAAAAGATCCCCAAGGACCAAGGTCCTTGGATGGGCAATCCTTTTGGAAGCGTCATAGAACACGACGAACAGATAGCTCCAGACGGACCACTGTGTTGGCGCTAATTGATACTCCATAGAGCACAAAGGAGGCATTTTCTGGAGTGTTCCATGTACGATGACGAAACACGCACGCATCTGCCTAGATGGACGAGGTTTTAATTGAGCCCACCTTTGGAACGGCCTTTAGCCCATGGGCAAGCAGCGGCGTTTTCATGGCCTCCTGGGGTCAGCTTTGCAACTAGGCCGTGTGTGTCTGAGGTGCCCAGGAAAGGTGAAAACCATGCCAAGTATACAGCTTTTTAAGTTTAGATAAATCAAACTTTGGCTTAGAAAATAAAGCTTCCTCCTTTAATTCTTTGGCCATCTTCACCAATCGATTGGGTGTTTGGCCAACAAAATACAGATTGGTTAACGTGCATGCTTTTGGTGATATATTTCCTCTTCGGATCAATTTAATTTGTAACGAGTTTAGAAAAGGAAACGAGAAGATGGCATGCACCTGATTATTCCAAGTAGGAAAGTGCAACTTAGGGGTTCTATGGTACTTATATAGTCTGCAAAATTTACTGAAAATTTTGAAGCAAAATAATATCTCAATTAGTAAGCTGTATATCAGATGTACTTAAAGCATGCAATTAAATCAACGTTAGTCGGAATTAAGAACATACTTAAGGACTTTAATTTGCATCACCGTTGGGAAGAAAACAAACAAAATCCATCTTAATAACTCATAATTAAAGTCAACGTGGGTTGGTTAGAAATGAATTATGAGAAATCTCTAGTTAAACTTCTCGTTGGTTACATTTAACTAGAGACCATCTTATTATACAGTGGTGGATATATATGTAAGTATAAAGAATTATAATTAAATGTAAATTCATACAAAACTTAATCTTAGAGCATTAATTAAAACATAAAATGCTCATGAAAGCATAAATTTAATGCTGGAACTAAAAAGTTAGATCTCAAAGTTAAAACTTGTTTATACAGTGCATAAAGATAACTAAGGAAATCGCACTAAAAAATTACTAAAACTTAAATATCCTTAGCAAAAATATTCCCAAAACATACTTAAAAAGGTAACTTATATCACAAAAAAAGACAAATTAAGTTTTATATGAAATGGGAATATGCACCATTATGTGGACCGTAAACTTATTTGCAATAAGGCACTAATTAATTCACTGATGCTAATGGTAAAGCAAACTTAAATCTGAATGAAAAGCATAATTCGGATCAGAATATAGCCTGCTTGAAACAGATAGAAACTTATAGCCAACTCTTGCGGCAGAAACAGTGCACAGTTGGCCAAACTTATCGTGCGGCATGCCTCTGAGCAACAATTGAAAAACTCAATTTAAAAGTAAATTACTAATATGCTGAACTAGATTATGTGGGAATCATCAAACTCAATTCAGCCTTTAATCAGCTCAGCATGGAGCAGCCCAAAAGCACAGCGCCAGGCCACACCTGCTCATGCCCGAGCCGGCCCATGCGGTTCTTCACTTAAAAGCCCAGTAGCAGCCCAAAAAGGAAAACCCTAATGCCAAACGATCTCAACCGTCGATCCTAAACTGATGGCTACGATTCATCATGAGCTCATAAAAAATAGGGACAATTGTCTGTTAGACATCCAAAGTGATTGTTCTTTGCTGGCGGACACCCACTTTGGAGCATTTTGTCAGAAGACACTCTGGTTCGGTGAAATTAGGCCACAGGACACCACGGACCGGTTGCAACCGGTTGAGGAGAGAGAACAGCGGTGAAATGACATTCTTGCCCCTACCGCTTTCTTCTTCCTCTCTCCCTTTCTCTTTTTTCTGTTTCCTGTCCCCGCCACCCTCTCCGCCTCCGATGCCCGCGCCATCGTACATAACTATAAGAGTGAAACCAAGACAAACGGGGAAGAGCATGTCGCTGACGCCATGGCAGAGTGCGATGGAGGCGGTGAGCGCGGTGCACAGCGCGGTATGCGAGGACGGCATCACCCCGGAGCTGAAGAGCATCCGCAGGTCCCTCCGGTGCTCGACGATGGAGGTGAGCAGGGCCTTGGTGGCCTGCGCGGACGCCCATGCCACCAGCCCCGACACGAAGGTCGGGTTGGCCGCCAGCGCCAGCAGGTACAGGCTCTCCCGCGCCTTGGTCACCGCAACTGTCGTGGTGCTCATGAGCAGCGTCCCTATCCCAGCCCCGCCCGTTGTCGCGGTCGCGAGGTCAGGGAGCTCCCCTCCCGCGCGGCCGCCCCGCTGTGCGGCGGCGAGGAGTCAGGCGAGTTACGGCGGCGGCGCGGCGACGTCGGCAGCGGGGCCGTGGCGGAGGAGGGTAGGGTGTGGACGGCGCCGCGGGGGCGTCGGCACGGGGGCTTGCTGAGGGGCCTATAGGCCGGGTCGAGGAGCTCGGGAGGAGTGCCCTAGCGAAGCGGCTGGAGCTAAGCACCTCCATTGCTTCTACTCCACATCGCCGCGCGGAGGTGGGGGCCTGGAGATTGAAACGAACGGCGACTTGGAGCCCTAGAGCACAATGGCCAGGGCGAGCAGTATCCACGTGGTGATGTCGCTGACGGCCATGGCAAACATGACCATGTGGCCCAGGTCGGTCGTTAGGAGCTTGAGTTCGGCGAGGATGCGCGCAAGCATCGGAAACGCGGTGATGGAGAGCGCGACACCCATGAAGACGATGAATGGGCCACACGGCGCGTTGCGTGCAATGGCGGCGCATAGCGCCAGCAAGGAGCCAGGTCCGAGCATGACGGGGAGGGAGATGCCGGCAACGGCAATGGCGAGCGTGCGACTGCCCGTGCGGCGAAGCGAGGCCAGGTCCAGCTCTAGGCCAACGAGGAAGAGGAATAGGAGCATGCCGATCTTGGCCAGCGTGTCGAGCATGGTGAGGCTCTCCATCAGGAAGAGGTGGTTGAGGAAGGCCTTGTTTCGGCCAAGTGTCGACGGGCCGAGGAGGATGCCGCCCTGCATGCATTGCCATCAATCGATTGCAGCTCTGAAGCGAGCACACTACAATTTCATCCAGCACTTGACACAGGAGGCAAGCAACGGGCGTCGGAGGCGCAGCCGCTCGCGACGGTGTGATGCGTGACGACGGGTGCGGGAGGCGGAGAGGGTGGCGGGGACAGGAAATAGAAAAAAAGAGAAAGGGTGAGAGGAAGAAGAAAGCAACAGGGGCTAGAATGTCATTTCACCGTTGTTCTCTCTCCTCAACCGGCTACAACCGGTCCACGGTGTCTTGTGGTCTAATTTCACCGAACCAGAGTGTCTTCTAGCAAAATGCTCCAAAGTAGGTGTCCACCAGCAAAGGACCATCACTTTCGATGTCAACAGACAATTGTCCCTATAAAATATTAGATAAAAAACCATGGCCCTCACTCACTCATCTTTCTTCTCCCCTGCTTCAACCGCATATGAAAACACCGCACAAGCAAGATTGCCATTCCTCAGCTCACCATCACCAAAGCCATCGGCATCGGTCGGTCCTCTGGCTAGCGTGCGCGTGCAGCTAGGCCGTGCGCGGCTCCATCTAGGAGACTCGGCCGGTGCCCATACGGTGACACCCTGGGTCAAAAACGGCAGCGGTAGGCTCAAGTGTGCGCGTGGCGGCAACCCCATAAGTGCACGTGGTGGCAGCCTGCCCTCAAGTGCGCACGCTGGTGGCCCTGCGCGCGCAGCCCGTGTGGCGAGCGTGCCCTCATGCCGGCGCGGCGATGGCCAGCAACGGCGGCAGCACGCGAAGGCGGCGGACGCGCACATCTCAGGCCTACGCGGCAGTGTCTCGTCTTAGGCCCGCACGTCGGCGGGTGGCTACTGTGACCTGATGCAAGCTGCTCATCCGACCTCGGCTGCGGCGGGCCCTCATGGCCTCGCGCGGCGACGGCGGCCCATCTGAGCACACGCGCGCAGCCGGCAGGGGTGGTGAGCCCGTGCGGTGGGTCCATGCCACGTGGCCTAGCGGCGGCTGTGGAGACCCGACCTAAGGCACTGGGTACGAGCCTCGAGCTCGCTCGGCTACTGCGCAGAACAGCCAGCACGGCGGCGGCGACCCAGCCTATGGCCGCCGGGTACAAGCCATCCACTCGTGTGCGGCTGTGGTGCAGTACAACCTGCATCGACAACCCAATCTATAATCTAGGTACGAGCCACGCGGGATCTGATGCTTAGGGTTAGGGTTGGGGATTTATGGGACTTTTCTCGTGGTTTGCCCAATTCATCTTCTTCAGGCCTTGTTCGTTTCTCTCGGATCGGCCCCGAAAAGAGGTCCGTTCCACCCGAATTGGGCCAACACAGAATGAATACCAGTCCAGCATGGAATAGGTATTCGGTTAAGGCTAGCCTAGATTCCAATACGGCCCATCTCGACAATTCGACCCCCTCTATAGCCTGGAACCAATCCTCACCTATAACCCACAGGAACGAATCCGTCTGGAATCTAGGCCCAGGAATGAAAACTGGGCCGAATTCAAGCCTGAGCTGCCGATCGAGGCCTAATGCTTATCAGGGTCCTAATTTGATGAAAACATCACTGATCTCTTGAAAATTGACTTAATCTGAGACTAATCGTGATGAACATTAAACCCTAACCCCCTAAATTCTTAGTCTAATCATGAACTTATCCTCAGGTCACATCTACTAAGGTCTAAAGAAACTTACTGATAGCACAAAACAGATCTAATTCGGCACTTAGATTACTAATCAAGCATGAATAGTGGTTAAACATGCATGATCGATCTTAACAGAAGCTAATAGCATCTAATAAAACTTTAGCAGAGACTAATCTAATCTAACCAACATGACAGAGGAAAAACACAGATTAAACTCTGGTTTAAGATCACGTTAGGTTTAAGCATGCTCTTGATAGCTATTGTTGAATTAAAACTTAGACTAACATGATCTTATCTTAGCCTAAATATGATCACTAACTAAATCTTATGTGGAAATTAGATCTTAGTGACTAACCAGAGTTAGGGAGATGTCATCTGTTCCTTTGGAGACGTTAGATGCCATCTGTTCCTTTGGATATGTGATGGAGTTGACGTAGATGAAGTAGGTGTACTGATCTTCACTCATGGAGAGTTAGAACTCACAATGTGATGAAGAGCTTGGTGTAGATCTGTAGCAACAGTACGTGGACGTGGGAGACCGCCTTCCTAAACCCTCAAGCTCCTTAGTGACCGGTTATGTGATTTGTTTCACTAACCCTAGAAGATCTAAGGGTTGTCGCCGATCACGGCAGATCTTATTTAGTTGAAAATAAATGGCAAGTGGACCAAAAACTTAACGCTTAATAATCTAGGGGTTAGCTGAACCGATCACGTTCCAACAGTTTTGAGTTTTCGTGCTAGTTTGACTAGACTCGTAAAAAATATGTGTAATATTTTTATCTTCAAATAAATTTATTGTGAAAATAGATTCAACAATGATATTAATTAAGTATCATAAATAAATATTAATATTTTTTGATATAAAATTACTCAAAGTTATTAATATTTTTTCATATAAAATTAGTCAAACTTATTTCTTGGGAAGCGAGGCCGACAGTTAGGTTAGGTCTGGGGACACTACACCACAACACCGCTTCACCGTCAGACATCTGACGCTAAAAATTATATTTGGCGATGGATGATCTGACGCTAAAGATAACTCAGAGACCATCTAACGCTAAATCCTCATTTAGCGATTTGTTGTCTGTCGCTATAGATGTTCATGTTTAGCGTTAGCCCGTCTATCGCTAAAACCAGATATAGCGTTGATCTGTCTGACGCTAAAAAAAATGGGCCCCACGCCTAGCTCACACGCCCTGTCTCCATAAGCAGTTCATGCACAAATTTTTGCCAGGCCCACAGTGACAAACCCTAGACTCATGCCCAAGATCCCAAATCCAAGAGCGCCGCCGCCTGTTCTTTACCCTCTCCAGCGGGCCGCCGCCCAATCTTTTCACTCCCCACGCCGCTCGCCCTCACTGCTCCCCGCGCCGCCCAGCCCTCCGCCCCGATAGCGCCTCGCGCACCACCAAATCCACCGCCCTAGCTATGTCCTCTCTCGTCTCGTTCCGTCGTCCCTCCCCGCGTCGCCTGCTTCTTCCCCCAACCAAACACAAAAATCCGCCATGGCGCTCGCCTCCGGCACATCCCGCCCCCTCCTGGGTCGCCCCGCCAGCACCGCGTGGCCCCACCTCGCCGTCTCCTCATCCTCCCCTGCCTCCTTGATCCGCTTCCCCCGCGGCGCGGGCACCGGCGGTGGTAGGGCGGTCGTCTTCCTCCGTGCCCCCGCGCCTCCAGGTCCGTGGTCAACCCAGGTGTTTCTTTTCCCCCTGCGTAATAATAATTAGAAGCAGTTGGGTTATGCACTTATGCTCTTGGCAAATGATTTGGGTTTGGGTTGTGGAGGAGACGTATGAAAACTGAACTTTTGTTTGATCCGTGATGCTCTAGCTTTTGGATACGGACACAGCCACAGGGACGATAGTCGATATGGATATATTATGTGCAAGACTCTTTCAGAGCAAGCTTAGCTTCGTTTCGTAGCCTTAGAGATTATGAAATGCTTTAAATCGGCTGTCAGCAGTAGTATAAGATGTATTCTGCTTCAACAGAATTCCAATTAAGCACGCTTATCACAATCTACTATCGCCTTCCGCGTATAATCGAGAAAAATGCCTTTTTGCGGTAATATGAATTAGCTTTTCTGTTGGCTACCCTAGTGCTCAGTTCAATGCTTGGCAGTTTCGACCTTGTTTCTTTCATTGCCAAGTTATCCACATTCAATTTATCCTTGAATCACAGAGGTTTCAACTTCACTGCTTTCAGAGAAGTAGAATAGAAAGCCTCAGACATACTAGTTCCCAAGTAGTACATCTTATAATCTTATAAATCCCAAGGACTGTGGTACATGACAGTTTCACCTTGGGTTTACCTGGATTTTGTTTCCTTTTTCTTCAAGCCACAAGTAAAACTTCCCCTTTCTAAAGCTATGTGTAATGTGCAAATACAATACTCACGACCTGTGTCAACTAGTAGCATGTTTTATTGATTACAAAAGTTGCAACTGTCACTGCAGTAAGCATTTTGTTTCTGATGTTCATGATTGGTAAGTGGTAGGTCAAACTGGACTTCAATATTTTGTTGTTAACTTGAGAACAACATGGCTAAGGAATCTTAGCAGGTGGCGGTTGTTTTCGTTCGCTCTAGGTGGCCAAAGGTAAAGGCTGCAGATGGGGGAGGAAAAGGCTAAGTAAATGATTAATTAGTAGGCTTGTAGGATTCCGGAATGTTGAGTTGTTGAAAAGGATAAATTTAGCATTTATTCTTTCAGTCTGCTTTCTCACAAATTGTGTGCATTATCTGTTTGCTCTTGGAGTGCCACCTAAATATTCAGAGTATTTTTATTTTTCAATAACATAATTTATTAGGCATGATAAAAGGATCATGTGTTACCTATAAATCTTTAGTTGAGCTGAAAATTTTCAGAGGGAAAAATGGATGTATTAAAATTTTCTGAACTGCTGATTTGCAAAGAAAGATATTGAATAAACTGTTTTTTCTCCCAATGTGTTTTTCCTCAGGTGATAAATTCTCTGATGTCGTTGGAAGCCCTTACTATGTCGCACCAGAGGTACTTCAGAAATGCTATGGTCCAGAAGCTGATGTGTGGAGCGCAGGGGTAATTCTGTACATTTTGCTTTGTGGTGTGCCCCCATTTTGGGCAGGTAATGTGTCTGTCATTCAAACCATCAAATTCGTTCGTCACTGGAAATTCACATGTTTTCCATTATGTTATATGATTATCTTCTTTCAGAAACTGAGGCTGGAATCTTCAGGCAGATTCTGCGAGGCAAACTTGATTTTGAATCTGAACCCTGGCCTAGTATTTCTGATAGCGCTAAGGATCTGGTCCGCAATATGCTTACTCGGGATCCTAAAAAGAGATTTAGTGCTCATGAGGTTCTCTGTAAGTACATTCTTTCCCTCATCTATCTCATGTAGCTGGGGTGTGGCTACATTTCCTGGGTGCTACATGGGATATCAATTTTTTATTCCCTCAATCCCTCATAATAATAGCATTGTCTATGCCACTATGTCAGGCCACCCATGGATTGTTGACGATGCCGTGGCACCTGATAAGCCTATTGATCTGCTGTTCTGTCAAGGTTGAAGCATTTTTCGGCAATGAACAAGCTCAAGAAGATGGCATTAAGGGTATGTATATTTACTTTTCCTTATCTGATGTGATATCTGATTCTATACCATTTGGTTTTATGTGGGCCCTAATAGATTTTTTTTAAAGAAAGTGGACCCTAATAGTTACGGCATCGTTTACGTTACTGTTAGCATGATCTCTATTTCTTGATACACCAAGGCCAGCTCCATATGGCTCTATTTTCCCATTCTGTCTGATTGAATCTTACTGTTTAACTGTAGTGGGTCCTCTATCATAATCACTCTGAAGGTGGTGCTTTATTCTCTAACCAAATACAATCTAGTAGAGCTCAGACAGATTGATAGTCATACTCATATGTCTGATCTCATGCTTATTTCCACCCCTGCTTTCTTGTCTGTGTCACAATGCTCACTATGTTCCATCCAGGTTTTCTGATTCATGCTATCAAAGCAAAACATTATAGATATTGGATATGATGTTCTGCATTGCCTTTGCTTTTCCGCCATTTTACTTCGTAATTAGTAGCTACAAATTTATTAATTTGGACTATTGCATCACGGGAATTGCAGAATGCTTCTAATGTTCAGTACATAAGCCTCAACTAAAGATTGGGAAGTTAAGACTCACTCACTCAAATTAAGGTCTTCGAAAAATATGTTATCACAAAGAGCTTAACAAAAGCGCCAGAAGGTTCCTCAGGTTGCTTTGAGACTCAAGCAAAATGGTTACTCTGGTTGCTCAGCTGGTGACACAGTCCCTTATATAATTTGCTCTCAGCAGGTATTACAAAATGATGTCTTTTATGTTTTGCATGCTCACTAAATCATCAATTGCTTATCCACATTGCAAAATTTTGGATTGTCAACCTGTCATATGACACTGATTGGTACTCTTGTTTCACAATCTGTCCAAGCCTCCAAGGCTAAGCTCATCATGTATACAGACCAGAAAGCACTAAATCTCATCAAAGTTATAAAAAAGACCAACACATATCTCTAATGATATTCACATTTTACAACCACTCACAATCTTGATTTTATTGCTGAACTAACATTTTGAAACATTTCTTCACAAGATAAGAATATGGATAAATGGAGGGAGTAGTCAGAACTTTTTGTTTACCTGCAGTGTAATTTCAAGAAAAAGGAAAATATATAATTTTTTGCCTGAAAAACATCCTAGTTTAGCTTTCTTTGAAGCTTGATTTATCTGATCCTAAACTGTACTTGCCATTCTGTATAGGACTCAGATAATACACATTATGTGGGAATAGCTCAGAGAGCTAGACATCCCGAGGAGTTAAAAAAAGACCCTGACAAGTGGATGATTGACATTGACTATTGTTTGTCACAACAGGTTCTTCACCATTGCAATACATTTTCCCTTCTTGGAAAAATACAGTTGCCTTTCCATATGCAGTGTTGCTTATTCTAAATTGCCTTTGCAGATTCATCCTGTTGTTTCTCGTCTGTGTGCTTCCATTCAGGGTACTAGTCCAGCTCGTCTGGCTGAATGTTTGGGACTTGATTCGGCTAAGGTGCGTATTTTCTGTTGAGTCTTCGATATCTTAAATGATTGGCATCATTTCTTTCAATATAGAGTTTGCTGATTCTTATTACCTGGATCAGTTCCAATCAAGAGTGACTGAGTCTAGCAATCAAGATACATCTACAATGCTGTTATCTGTAATCGATGATGAAGATGAGAGGTAAACCTCTAACATATCAATTTCATTAATGTTGCAGTATTTCAGTTATTCAAATATTCTTGTGTTTTAATGACAGATATCGTGGTTGTGCGCCACTGCGTTTATCATGCCCAAGTTGTTCTGGTACCTTCGACTGCCCTCCTGTATCTAGTCTGATTACTAGTTCTACAAGTGTATCGGATCCAAATGATGTATTGTGCAAGACCTTGTTGGATGATGTACTGTGCAAGACAAGATTAGATGTTATATATGTATTGATCTCCATGTGATGTATGTGTTTTTATATCTTTATGTGATGGACCTTAAGCTTGAATCTGGGTATGATATGTGCTACATATTTTCTCATTGTATATTTTTTTATATTTATATTGTCCTGTAGAATAATCTGTCGCTATAAATATATTAACTATTGGATGATCTGTCGGTATATGTCTTGTAGTAGAGCATATGTCGCCAAAAAGTAGCAATGGACTATCTGTCGTTAAAAAAATTCAGGGCAACGGACTGTCTGACGCTAAAAGTACTGTCTGACGCTAAAGATTTTTAGCGACAGGGCTTACAGCGTCTGCAGAAGTCTGTCGCAATAACTTTTTAGCGTCAGATTATCTGTCGCTATAACCGCTTTTAGCGTCAGACCATCCATCGCTAATCTTGGTGTTGTGGTGTAGTGGGAGGATTCTCTGCGCATCAGTATACATTCAGCAATACTTACAACATTACAAGCATGTACAGCATTTGGAATCCTCGCGAAAAAAAAAACGTACGACATTTGGAAGCGTCGTAGAACAAGAGCAGCAGGAGAACTACTCAACAGCCATTCCAAACGTGATGGGTATCCAGAACAAACTATCGAAACAGCCAGCACGCCTATGAATCAATGAACTCAACTGCTACCTCCGTCTAAAAAAATATAAATCTCATTCTCAAGAAGTCAAGAAATCTCAAGATCAAGTTTATAGAAAAAAATATAAATAATTATATTTTGAAATATATTTATTATAAAACTATATTGCATACTCAGTCTAATTATATTTTTGCGTATCATAATATTTGAATAATTTTATATGTATATTTGATCAAAGTTGATATTGTTTTGGAAAACGTGATAAGAGGGAGTAGGCAGGAGCAGGATTCTCTCTAAAGATCCCCAAAGGCCTGGATTGGGCAATCCATCTACCTGTCCATTCGTAAGCCTGGTAGAACACGATGAACAGGCAGCAGCAGGATTGCCTGAAAAGATCCCCAAAGCTCTGGATTGGGCAATCCATCTACCTGCCCATTATGCGTCAGACGAGAGGGAGTAAGCAGGAGCAGGATTCCCTCAAAAGATCCACAAAGTCCTAGATTGGGCAATCCATCTACTTGCCCATTCGTAAGAACAGAGGGAGTAGGCAGGTGCACAGGATTCCCTCAACCACCTGCCCATTCTTACGCGTCAGACAAGGGAGTACTAGGTAGGAGCATGATTTCCTCAAAAGATCATCAAAGCCTTAGATTGGGCAATCCATCTACTTGTCCATTCGTAAGCGTCAGACGAGAAGGGGTAGGCAGGTGCAGGACACCCTCAACTGCCTGCCCATTCTTAAGCGTCAGACGAGAGGGAGTAGGCAAGTGCAGGATTCCCTCAAAAGATCCCCAAAGCCCTGGATTGGGCAATACATCTAGGGTATGTTTGGTTCTATGGATGTCCATGGATACTGGATGTTTGGTTGGATGGATAAACTAAACCTGGATATCCACAACAGGGAATATTCTGGATAGATGCCGGATATCATGGCCCTCAAAAATCTGGCGGATGAGGATATCCACATGTTGATTAGCACATGTTTTGTGTGACAATTAGAGTAGCATAGTGCTAATTAATATATTTTATTTTTAATTAGTGATTATAATGACAAGATTAGTGTCCGTGCATATTTATTAGGGTATAATTAGTTGTTATTATTTTTAAATAATAGATATAATTAGTCAAGTATTCTCATCCCATGCAATCTTATCGATCCAACCAAACAGAAAAATGGCTCGCCCCATCCATCCAACCAAACAGACAACATGGATATCCATATCCTGAAATCCATGGATGGCCATATCCCATCCACCCTTGTCCTCAAACCAAACACACCCCTACTCGCACGGATAGCCCAGGTTTGCTATTACTCTCTCCGTCCAAGAAAACATGCAATTCTATCACAGTGTCACGTTACAGTATCTTAAGTTTGACCAATTATAGATAAAAAAAATATTAATATTTATGATATCAAATAAATGTTATTAGATTAATTATGAAATATATTTTAATATTAAATTGATTTGGAGCCATAAATATGAATACTATTCATTAGAAACTTAGTCAAACGTGAACTAATTTTTCTGACACGCAACCCATAGTTGCATGTTTTTATGGACAAAGGGAGTACAACACACCTAGCGCCTGGACGTCCGACTCGAGCACGTGTCTGGACGCGCCTTGGGGCGTTCGATTGTCGTAACAGGAGCCATTCGATCCCGACCAATCCGTGTAATGATTCAATTCACAAACATTACGAGCGAACCAATCCGGACAGAAGCGTCCGCCCACGCCCGCCAGTCGTCATATCTTGATGCTTTGAGAACTCCTTAGTGTTCATTGGTTCATGGCTGTACTGTATAACAAATTAACCATCCTGTCATTCTATGAAGCATAGATTTGCCTTGTACATGACTAATCAATCATTCTGTGTAACTGATGTGACAGACCAGTCAATTTTGCTTAATTGCAGCGTACATATCCTTCAGAGGGCGATTTGGAGCATCAGCTCGGGCGATAATCTCAACAACTTTGTAGGAAGACTCTGGACACAACAATGCTTCTACAGCTACTTCAGCAACCTGGCTCCGAGATATGGATCCCGAGTAAAGAGTGTCCTGAAAAATTTCAATAACAAAAATGCTATGCATAAACTATTGGTGGACAAAGAGTACTTTCCAGTAATGACAAGATGAGAAAACACTAAAACACACTGGAGGCCTCTAAACATATTAGTATTCCTTAATCTGGATCGGATTAGTTTTATTGTACAATCCATTATTTCTAATGTGCATACAAGATGAGCATTTTTCTTATAGAAGAGCTCCCTCCTGTAAAAGGGAAAAATGCATTCAGTCCAACTGTAGAAATTTGACCAATGTTAGTGTTTTGATAGCGTGGATTGTACATATAAAAACGATATCAATTAACGCCAATTATACTACTTCCATAAAATAAAATGACATCCTATTGACTTCCAACAGTAAAAAGTTCTATGGAATAGCATATCCTAGTTACACGGGTTTGCAGACCTCACCTTAAAGCCACATATGTTACAGGTTTTGCATATTGTGTTAGTGGAATTAGCGTGAAGCCACAACTTAAATTCCATTGTCTCTTCTTTTGCAGGGGCATTTGATGGGGATTCAGATTCTCCTTATAGATGTTTCTCAGTTGAATCAAATCGCTTAGTAAGAATTGGTGAAACAATTTGGCTATCAATCCAGATTCACCCTAAAATGAACTAGAATCACTGCAAAACACCTATTTGGGTGATTCTCCTTCCTAGCTCAAAACGAAGAAACATTACCAGGTGTTCCCCCGACAATCACTTCACCAAAAAAAATGTTTGGTTCAGATTCTCCTGATTCCAGCAAGAATCGGAAACAATTCTTGCAACCAAATGGGGATCACCGTTGCTAAATTATGCAAATCTACCCTCTAGTCCACCTAACTTAAAAACTATCACTACTGGAAACTCGAATACTTCTATGGGTGATGAATTTTTCTGTGCGTTTTTCTCTATACACACAGAAAAATTGGTAATTAAGCTGTGGGTTTCAAAAATCCCGACAGAAATTTTCAAAAACCCACAGAAAAATTGCGTGATTTTTCTGTGCGTGTAAATACACACAGAAAAATTACCATTATTCTGTCGGTCTTTTCAAAACTCACAGAAAAACTATATACACGTATAGAAAAACTATATACACGCAAAAAAAACACAAAACCCCCTAACCCTATCTCCAGACGCAGCCGCCCATCCCTATCCCAAACGCGCCGCCCGCACCCGCTCGAGACCATGCCCGCACTCCCGTCGCTCCTAGGTCTCGCAGCTCTAGGCCCGCCGCCCCATCTCCATATCCGGCGCCCGCAGGCCGCCGCCAACCACCCCAGCTCCATGGCGGCCGCCCGCCGCCCTAGGTCCGTCGCCGCCCGCCGCCCCCAGATCTGCCTCCTGCCGTGCAAGTCTTCCCTGAGACCCGACCATCTCCCATCGCCTCCCCCTCCTCTTTCCACCGTCGCAGCGGCCACCCCCTCCTCCACAGGTGAGGCCACCACCCAGTCCTCCACTACAACTCGTCCCCTCCCTTCCCTCGGAAGATGGCGATGGCTGCCCGTGCAAGACCGGATGGCGACGCCTCCCTCCTCTAGACTGGCCGGCGGCGCCTCCCTCTCCTACCAGATCCAACCGGTGCCCCTCCCTCCACCCACATCCGGCTGGCACTGCCTCCCTCCTCCAGCCAGCGTCGTCTCCCTCCTCCAGATCTGCGCTCACCCTAGTCTTCGTCGGGCCTTCGACATTCGCCAGCGACGAGCACCCACCAGGTATGTGCCCACCCCTTTGCTCTCCCTTGAAATCCGAGCACCCAAACCCTAGCTAACGTAATATATTTGGGTTTTTGTGCTCGGTTTAGGATTTGATTTGGGGGGTGGATCGATAGATCAATGTGTGTGAGCTGCGGTTGCTCAAACCTGGTTCATGTTTAATTAACCTGTCACATGTGTGCTATTTTTATAATTAAAAGCACGCTCCTATTTTTAGCATTGTTTGATGGGTGAGGACACATTATATCGTCTCCAAATACTAAAATGCTAAGAATATGTTTGAGAAGCATGCAAGTAAGTTTCATTGCAGTAGAATATTCCTGTGCTGTTCACAAAGAAGAAATTTGCATCACTGATTTTAGTTTCTAGACAGGTAGTGTTTCAGCTTTAGAAACCCAAATTAATTGAGGTGGAAATGGATGTGCAAGAGGACTTGTCCTATGTACTGAGCTTAGCTCTCATCACCCAAATTAATTAGGTAGAGAACAGTTTCACAACCTATTATTTTTGAGCCAAAACTGGAGAACATTAGAACAATGAATTTGGATCTTTGTTTTCTCAAACAAAGCTTTACTTGTTGTTGGTTCGACTGATTTGATTGGTCAGTGCCTCCGAGTAAAGGTCTGCTGTTCAAATGTGTAATTTTGCGTGCTAATCTACGCTGACTGTTTAAGACGGAGACTTTGAGTACTATAAGTGGGTCCTAACTCTAGTAGAACTGTTAATACATCCGCCTTGTCATCATGTTTTGTTCAACGCTCGTGACCTGTTTTTTTTTGTTCTTATTATTATTTTGAGATATCATCACTACTCTGTGCTAGTATATAATTGATCTGTTCCTTTGCACTGCCTTACTTTTCTCAAGCCTTCTCGTGCTGATTATTTGTTGAAGGCAATGCTCAACTGCAGTGGTGTGATACTGGGATCCTTGCCAATAAGGTAAAACTCTAATCTTTTGACGCTTTGCAGTGATATAGAAGAGCTGGGAGTGGATAACAGAGCTTGTCTACTGTGGTATTTTATTTTCAGGGTGAGCCTGTCGAAGACTCCCGTGCGTCCCCGCTCGCCTCGCCAGCTGATGCACTAGATATCGTAGGTACAGGAGGTGCTGATGGCACTGCTTATATATAATAGAGATAGACATAAATGAAAAGGGGAGGAAAGAAGTCGCGACATGTGTCTTTTGTTTTTAAGTTATGGGCTCAGCCTTTTTTTTCTTGCTTCACCATTCCACCGTGAGTAAAGTGCCTACGCCCAGAGCCAGAGAGATGGGGAAATCCCGGGTCGAGGCTGGGTCCTTTTTTTTACCTTGCACATAGAGGAGAGCTTCTTATCTTACTAGAAGGAAGCAGGGGTCAGTCTGCCTGATGCTCTTGTCCTTGATGCAACAAAGGCGAAACTCCTGGACTTTTACCCTATGTTCAGTTGTTTGCTGTGTCCTGGTTGCTACTGAAAAAAAAACATGGGTATTGGAGACTATGAACGCTTACCGTTATATGCTCTACATACCTTTTTGGTTGCTTACATGTTACTATGTTTTCTTGTTCTTGTGGCGCATGCTGTTGTGTTTTTCCGATCCCTCTATGGTGGTTGGTTCCATCTTCCATGTTCCTAGCTTTGTCTATGTGCAGTGTTGTTTGTAGCATCCTCCAGCCGGAGTCGACTCCCTCCTCCAGATCTGCGCTCACCCTGGTCTTCGTCGGGCCTTCGACATTCGCCAGCGACGAGCACCCACCAGGTATGCGCCCACCCCTTTGCTCTCCCTTCGACAATTATTGTCTAGTAACAGTTATTTCTCAATCTATCTTGGGTTAGCGTTTCACATTACTTAATTCTCTGTTGTACTGAAATGCTATGTATGTGTAGTCATTTCCATTATCACAAGACCGTTACTGAACTGTACCTGCATCTATTTTGGTCTACAGATTTTTTTAGACATCTTTCTCATATAAGAAAACTTGCCCATTCTACCATGTTAGCTTTCTGTTATTGCATTCATGTGACAAACCACTCAAGATTATTCAACTTCTCACACGGAATATTATGGGTTCAACTTCTAGAAGAATGTTCTTCTCCTCTATTGTTAGTTCAAACCGTTGTCTTGGTGGAGGTGGACCCCTCTCATCCGGTCTCCTTGGGGGTCTCCCAGGATTGTTTCTTTGGCTGCTCCAGTTACCAGATTTGGCACCCCATCCATCTGCTTTCCCGTCCTTGTTACTAGAATCAGTTGTCTCTTTCCATTGAGTAGTACCTTGTGCGTTCTCAGCAGGCACAACATTCCAGCCATCCTAAGAATCTGATTGCTTAGCATCTGAATTGCCCATTGGTGTTGCAGCCAGATTACCCCAGAAGTCTTCTGCGGCAGATTACTCCATGTGTCTGATTCTTTTGGGACTTTCAGATGCTCATCAGACTCCATCTTATCTTTCTCACCCCAACTGGATCCTGCATTAGACTTGGCATTTGGTCTTCCAATTCCATCTCCAGCATTCCAAGCATTGCCTCCCCAATCAGTGGAATTGTCCTGCACCTTAGCATGCACTTCCCATGAATTATCTTGATCTACTGGCTTTGCAGCCGCTCCACCTCCACTACTCCAGCCTCCCCAATCAGTGGAATTGTCTGGCACCTTAGCATGCACTTCCCATGAATTATCTTGATCTGCTGGCTTTGCAGCAGCTCCAACTCCACTACCCCAGCCTCCCCAGTCACCAGAATCATTCGCAGCACTAGCATTTTGTTCCCAACTTGAGTTCTTTGTTGTGCCATTTTCCCATGAGCTGCCTTTCTGAATATTTTGCTCTCCAACTTAAGTATTATACAACACCTCAGAATATCTAATTAACCCAATCAAACTAGAATAGACACTGATCCTAAACAAGGCAAGATGTACCAATCCCCAGAAGTCCTTGGGTGGGGAATAAATGTCCCTGTGGTGTTGCTGCAGTCAAAACTGCTGACTTAACCATTAATATTAAAACATGCTTGGTTGACAAACCTGCACAACTTGAATGAAGGCACATGAGATGCCAATAAGTTCCCCCACTTGCTGAATGCCATGTGGAATAGACCTCCGTGTGTCAATGAGGTCAAGTACAGGTAAGCAGGCATCAATTGTTGTCGTCCAGGCATCACCATTGCTTACAGCATCATCTTTTTCAACAATGATTTCTAACGCCGGCTCACCCTTTGATACCTTTCGTGTGTTTTTTACCCAAGAGGTTGCATCTAATTCAACCCAGATAACTTTTGCTCACCCTTTCTAGTTTCTTTAGTTCTTTACTCTGATTTGGCAAATAGATGCATGTCAGTGCAGGTGAGCGCATACTGTGATGACTGATACTGACCCAGTGTGGCTTGCAGCGTCGAATCAAACTCCATCTACATCGAAGGGTAAGCTTGATTTCTTTTTCCATGTTAGGTCTTTGCTCCAATTTTTAGTGGAGTTACAAGTAACAAGAGGGCATGTCTTATGTATGAGAATAAGAAGAGTAAGAATTCTAAGAAACCCCGAACCATTGCCCTGGTAAGTGAAGTTTGATTTTGTACTCCGACTTTTATGACATTATGTGTTGTCGAAAAGAAAAAAGGCTGTTCTGGCCCTTTGGTGCAAGTTTTGTAAGCATCAAGGACAAGTTCAATTGCTCCTGCTGATGAGATTAACACTGAGCTTGTGAATCAGAGCTTTTCCTGGAGCTGCAGCTCTGAAGATGATTCAATTGGTGCGTGTGAAGAATCTGTTGTTCTGAAACAAAGTACCAGTTCAAGATGTCGTAGTCGGTCCTCGAAGGATTTACAGAGCCTTTACGCAAAGGTCAGAAATACTTAATGCTAATTTCGCAATGATCACTGAATCTGCAGTTTTTGTTTTCTGATGGCTTAGTCATACTATATAACAGAGGAGAAGAGAGAGGATCAATGAAAGACTAAGCACGCTGCAACAGCTAATTCCTAATGGCTCCAAAGTAAGTTCTTTTCTTTTGTATTTAGTGATCAACTTTTTTGCTATCAAATTGTGTTTTCAAAGGCCCATCAATTTGCACAAACTTTTGTGTGAACACTGAAGATAAGTTGCTCTCTTGCCTTTGCAGGTTGACCTGAGCACTATGCTGGAGGAAGCAGTTCAGTATGTCAAGTTCCTGCAGCTGCAAATAAAGGTAGTTTTTTTGTGTCCTAGTTAAGTCAGATCAACATTGGAAAAAACTTTAGTTCACAATTCCAGTTCTCCATCATGCGCAACATTAACCTGTACAGAGCATTGTATACTTTGCATTTAAAAATACTAATTCGATGCGCAGGGGCATGCCTCTCATTTACCTTCCCTTTTTTTCCGTAACAGCTCCTGAGCTCTGAAGATACATGCATGTACGCACCTCTTGCCTATAACCACATGAGCATGGACCTCGGTCCAAATGTTGCTGTGAAGCAATCATGACCGTCCGAAAAGAGTTGTCTGAACTGATCAGATGGGAGCTAAAACACAATGCATGGTCCATCTTTTCATAAATCTGTAATTAGCCCTGACTTTACATTCTTCAGTTGCTTCTTGCAAGTATGAGCAAGAAGTTCTTTTGAAATAAAAATTGGACCATGGGTTCCCTTGTCATATGAGATATCGACAGTTCACTGAAATGGAAATTTTTCTAGGGTGCATTAATGAATGTGTTGAACATTTGGATCTTTATATGTATGCTATCTATTATGTTGTGATGAAATTACAGTATGGACAGTCCATATTTAATATGTTGTTGCTACTATTCTGTTTCTATATAATTATTGTATCCAATTTGCTGCATGGTTAAGGGTTTTTAAGTCGGTGGTCTGTTATTTTTCTATGAGTGTGCCTCTACGACTCTATCGGGACAACATCGACAGAAAAATCATTTTTCTGTCGGGCTTTTTCTTTTTTCTGTGAGCATTAACGCACACAACATTTAAATTTAATCTGGGCTAAGGCAATTTTTTGTGCGTGTAACACCCACAGAAAAATTATTTCTGATGGCGAACACACAGAACAATTGAAAAATATTTCCATGGGTATTTTTCTGAGGGTACACCGGTATTCGCATTTTTCTGTGTGTTTTCGCACACACACAAAAATGCAAGTTTCCAGTAGTGTATTATTGGTAATAGCATCAAGCAATAAGTTTAAGGCTTTTACCTCAGGTTCCATGACTATATTCCCTGTTGGGGGTTGATCTGTCAGCCCTCCAGGCCTTACAATAGTGTAATTTATTCCTGATTTCCTGATGTGATTTTCTGCCTGTAGCTTTGCAACCAGTGTTAAGCCAAGTAGATTGAGCACAATGTAGGCTGGATTCAGAAGTTGACCCATAGCAGACCCATTTACTAAAATGGAGCTGATGAGTACAAATCTTGTTACGCCTGCCTTTCGGCATGCTTCAACCAGGTTCACTGTGCCAAAGTTGTCTACCTGCAATACCAAAATTTATCACGGCTATTATTTGTGAAACAAAAGGAGTATCTATACGCATTCAACCATTTGCCAGTGATATGATTGGATCCTTAAAGCTCTTATTTGCAAGGCCATGGACTGATTGTTCGTTAAATATACCAAATATATACAAACATCAAGAGTTACCAAACACTATGAGGAATTAATATAATTTGACAGACCCTCTACGCCACATCTTTTTAAACTTGCTTAAACAAATAGAAAACTGATGAACCAGTGGACCAAATCAGCTCAGTTACACAAAACATTGTTGGATTACCAGTATTACTTTAAGCCAGTCACCGTATAGACAACCGTGGATGAAAAGACGGATTAGGGATGTCTACACTATGAATAGTACTCAATGCAAGAACCAAGGTCTAGAAAACTAGCACTGAGGCAAAATTAGTGGGCACAAGTGAACTTAGATCATCTTATAAGTACCAAACATGAAACATGTTAAAATTGCCCCACAAAAGAATACTGAGAGTTGTATGCTGCGTGAATTCAAACTTTAATTGAATTCTCAATGGCCCGCTGGCCTGGTTTTAGGAATTCAGGGGTCCAAATTAACTGTCCAGATATTGAACCAGATCCCACCAGGAACAGCAGAATGGTGATGTGGCAACCCTCGAATATAGCATTCTTTTCGGATTTTTTGAAGCGAATTCTTTTCAGAATTAAGAATTTGATGCATACAATTTGCAAAGTAATAATCCCATACTAACTACCCTATTCTTCTTCTTCTTTTCACGAGCACGCTTGGATCACGTGTATTTTATTAAGAGGGAAACTGCCCTATGCTTCTGTCACCGTCGATGCTCCATCGACGACTCCGGTGACTACAGCTGGAGAAGAGCCTGAATAATTTGAAGATGATGAAACGGTGACGGGAGGCGTACTTCAGAAGGGCGACCGTGTACCTGGTATGCTGGACCGGGTGGCAAGAAGCAGGCGGCCCAACCCACGTATGATTGGCCCAGAATAGGCGAAGTAGGAGTATCGGGCCTGCGTGGCCCAGAACAGGACCTGTTCACGTCCGTCGTGCTGGCGACGATGGCCAGCAGCTTCTCCACAACGCTTTGCCGGTGCGCCCGGTCGAGCCAGCCACGAAGACGGTCGTCGTCTTCTTCTCCTCGGCGTCCGGCGAGCTCGCAGATGCCTCGTTCATGGTGGAGGCCGCCCTGCAGCGGAAGAAGAGCTTTCTTGCGGCTGCAGGGACGGCGGAAGGCAGGTGCGGGCACGCGGTGACGCCGCAGACAGCGCTGGCCATGAGTTTTTGGGTGGCGTGGGTGTGGCAGTGGCCAACTGAGCCGTGAACCGTGAGGGCGGAAGGCAGCACAGCACTTGCTCTCCCTCTGGCTACGCCTGGGCCATTCGCTTAATTCAGTTAGTTAAATCGTTCCATCGGTTATCAAAAATTTTGATTTTAACCAAATGTAAACTGAATTTATTGTTAATAAATAACTAATAGCTGAACAAAATCAGTTTTGGTACTTTATACATGAAGATAATTCAATAATATAATGCACCTAAGAAAAACGCATCATATTATAACAAATGAAAAGAAACAACAACAACAAAGAATGCTTCTACCAAATAAAATATCATAGAAATACATTTAAAAATATAAATGCATATATTTTTAATGTTTAATATAAAGCCATACGAAACCAAATAAATTTATTAACCAAATAGAGCCAAAATCTTCAACAAAAAGATCACGAAAATTTTGGTTAACCAACTTTTTTGGTTAAAAGGTGAAATTTTGCCCATCCTAGCTCTAGGAAACATGCCAAAGTTCACGCCTGCTTAAAGATGAAAAAGAAATTCTCTCATCCCAACTTTTAGGGCATGGTTGTTTTCGGGTTTTTGTTGGTTTCTATCCGACAGAAGCCAGAAGGTGAATCAAACAACCCAATTGTTGAATTGGCTTTTAAAAACCTAGAAAATAGCTTAAGAGGAAATAAACTAAAAGCTAAAAGGCACACTATGAGCATACTTTTATAACTTTTGGTATGATAAAAGCTAAAATTTTATTAAAAAAAACTAGAAAAAAGCCATCAGCTGAAAGATAAAATCTAGAAAGCTAGCTTTTGATCCAAAAAGCTAAAAGTTGTAGCTCAAACAAATAGGCCATTGGTCCTCCAAGTATGGTCAAGAAAATTTTAAAACCATCTACATAAATAATCACAAGCATATGAAATTAAACATATATTAGTTTTTGAAGCAAAAAAGTTTGTGGCATACTAGTGATGCCTGCCAAACAACACCCCTGCACGCCTCTCGATTGGGTTCTTAGCCGTCGTCGCTACCCTAGGTCCCCCTATTTTCTGTTGTTTTGGCAACGTTGTCGATTGCAAGGAGGAGAGGGGATTTGCCTCTTCGGACATCTAAGGTTAGTTTTTAGTTAAGAGTTGGGCTCACATGGTCCCTTTCCCCGCCATCATGGTTGGTTCATGGCTTCCACCATTGTTGTCCGCATCGGTGGTGGCAGCTTAGGGGTCTTCTTCGTCTTTGGTGGCTGCACCTCAAGAAAGTCACCCCATTCAGATCCTCTCCTCCCCTTCATCCCCATCTAGATGCAACCGTCTCCTACGTTGTTCCAATTTCCATCATCCAAGATCTAGCCACTGGCATTGCTAACCTGGGCATTGTTCTTAAGCACATAACCATAGAGTGCTTCGGATGGAGAACGACTAATTGTGAAGTGTGGGCAAGTGTTATACCAAAATTCCGCGAGTGCGAGCCAATTCAGTAATTTTGTAGGACAAGGATTAGCAAAACAACGAAGGAAGGTCTCCATAGTTTAGTTCAGCCGCTTAATCTGACTATCCAATTAATTAGAGGTGATAATTGGAACTCTTATGCAGAGACACCTTAGCCAAACGAAACAACTCCTTCCAAGAGGTACTTATGAAGATGCGGTCTTGATCAACAATGATCACCGAAGGTAACCCATGAAGCCGATATATGTGTTGCATGAAAGCTTTAGCCACTACTGATTGTAAGGAAAATGGAACCTATGGGCTATTAAGTTTGGATTCTGGTGTTTGAGGAACAACATGACCAATTGGACCAATGTTGTTTGCTAGTATACAAGGTATAGTTCAAATGGATGTAAGGTGGACTTGGACTTAGACAAAGTGGTGATCCAAATGATCAACACTTCAAGCAAGATATTGGAAGCCATGTTGAAGACCTGCAAGACATTCTACAAGTCTAAGCCACCAAGAAGTAGAAGCCCGGACGCAAAGACACAAACAAAACTGAAGCCACTAGAGCCGAGATAAAGAGATGGATGAATTGGAATTATCTCATGATTTTGGATCTCCTAAAATTGACATAAATTCAGTCCAAAGTCTTAGAGCTTTTCATTAGCTTTTCAAAAAGTCCAAGATCATTAAAATCAGAGTTCGAAGCCAAAAGTTATGTCTAAAATACGAAAACGCGACATGCTTGAAATTGAGCAGCGGACATCCGATGCTATTTGTCCGATGCTCACACCTTTGGTCCGATGCTCACTGAACTGAAATGAACAGTGGCACTGTTTTTTCCGATGCTACACACCTATTGGTCTGATGCTCATAGAAAAGGTTGTAACGGCTAGTAATGACTAGTTTTTGGAGTTGGGGTTATTTATACCCCTCCATTCGGCCAAGAAAGGTGTGCTACAGCCGAGGGAAGTTTGTGGAGAGTTTGGGCTCATCCATTTTGCTCTAGCCACCAAAAGTGTTTAAGAAAATATTAGATGATTAGTGTAGGTGCTTTGTGAAGTGCTTAGACCACCGCTTATGCGCTTGCTCTAGGTTCAGGCCTTGTGTTTAGTGAGGTTTTTATACCTCTTACCACTGGGTGCTTGCACGCACTGTTGTTGTACATCGGATGGCTTATAGTCTTGCGAGACTATACCAACCGTGTTTGTGATGTGGCCGCTGTTGGTATTTCTTACGTTCACACATAAATCCGCAAGCGCACGGAATACCGCTGTAGCAATTCACCAGGAGTATTCCAGGTATCGTATCCATAGGAAAACGTGTGAGATTAACAATGGACTAACCTAACCAGGGATAGGAACAAGGTTAAAGATAAACAAGAGTACAGAGGGGACTTCTAAGGTTCTTAACTTCTAACTTAAGATAGACTTGTATTCTAGTGTTCACTTATGGACATTACTAAGAAAGAGCATCACAGAATATTTCTTCCATCACAACACAGGTCCTAATCCCACTGGAATATAATACTACCTCTTTGCAAAAAAGAGTAAAGTTCATGGCCAGTCCTCGAACTTGTGAGTGTGTGTCATCCCGGTCCTTAAACTCAGAAAATGTGTTATTTCGGTCCTTAAACTTTATTTTGGTCCCATATCCAAACGGGTATGGATCGATACCTGCGTATCGCGATAAGACTTGATTGCTTAAAATAGAAGATTAACAGGGTTATATACAAAATTGCCGAGACACAAAAATTACACAAATATATATAGACTTCATAGGGGTTGTTTTGAAAAAGAGTCGTCTTCTTCCTCTCATCCCGACGCGGCGACCAACCTGCGGCGCGAGGTCAGGCAGAGCACCAGTCGGACGGGGCTGCGCCGATCCTGGACGGGGGAGCCATCGGCGGCGGCGGAGGTGTGCTTGGGAAGCGGCGGCCCCAGCTGTAGGCGTGGGCGGCGGTGGCTCGGCCGGGCGTGGCCGATGGGAATGCGGGCCAGGGCTGCGTCGGGCGGTGGACGCGGCAGCCTACACGCGGCCACAGTGGCGGCCGGCGAGGCTCCGTGTGCCGGCGCACTGGCGCACCGTCAAGGCCAAGGGCCGCATGCGCCGCGCACGTTCGGGCGAGTCTGGCTCGTGGGGTGCGCAGCGCACGTTCCTGCAGCCACTTTTGTCTCTGTAAAGATGAAATCAAATTTCGTTTCCGGCGAGCCTAGCTCGCGGGGTGCGCAGCGCACGTTCCTGCTGGCACTTTTGTCTCTGTAA